ACTAGGAATTATAGTTTAGCTAGAGTTACTAGGAATTATAGTTTAGCAATATCTGTAGGATTTATGGGTAGCCAATCCTCACTATCTGACTTAGATGATAATCTCCTATTTAAATTTTAAATACATTAACTTTTAAAGTTAATGTATATTGATTGGTTGTTATAGCAACATATGATTAGTTAGTTTATATAGTAAATTCTTACATTTATTGTATGAGGAAAATAACTTTCAGTCCATCTTGGTCCTATTCACTTTAGTTATATAATTATGAGCAATATTTGTTGATCGTTCATTATAAACATTAGAAAGCAAATATTAAAAAGTTGCCATTTCTCTGATCATAGCTTTCCTTGAGAGACAAACAAAATATAAAGCCAACAGCCTGTTTTCATTGATTTTTCTCAAACTGAAATGGAAAGATCTATCATAAATTCAATAGTAATTTGAATTAAATTAAGAATGTTTGTTAAAGAATACTACCAATCATATAAATCTGCTGAAATAATACTTCAAAAATATTGGCTACCTTGTTAAATTCTAGTTTTGATAGTGTAGATACACTGAAATTCCTACTGTTCATTTTGTAGGTTTCATCCATTGTCCCAAAATCAACCTGAATAAATACATTGCACAATAGTATCAGAATAATTTTACTGTCTTCTGAAGTACATATAAAGATTCAACCCGCTATTTCACTATAATTTAGAATTCCATTTTTTCCAAAGGATAGATGAACTCCAAAGCCATCAACCACCATTCATTCTGAATATCTCTTAGCATTTAAAAATGAGCCTGAGTCTCTATGAGAAACAGCTGTATGGTGAGATAGTGGTTTCTGCTCTGATTTGAATCCAAGCTCAGCTATTACACTAAATTCAGTCTAAATAGAATGTTCTAAATAGAATATTCAGAATAGAGTATTCAGTGAATAGTTTGATTTCAAATTATTTAAATGCTACTGATTTATCTGAATGATGAGATCAATGAGTAGTTTAGTCAGGATCCAAAACTGTCAGCAAACCTTTGTGCGTATTTTATAGTTTTACAGTTGTACAGAAACAGTTGTTTGACAATGCCAAGATGTATAGCTTGTGTTAGAAAAGTAAAATAAAGTTTCTCTTAAGACAAATAGAATATTTAACAACATCTCATGAAGCCTTTGATACCAAAAAGTGAACAATGGACACTGCAAATTCAGTAGTCTAAATGTTTTCAAAAGCAAATGAATGAAATGCAGTTATATTTAGTTTGGATTTAGTTTCTCTCAATCAAGGATTTGGGCAATCTTAATGCAGAATTTTAAGACTGATTTTTGCATTATGAAAAATGAATAACCAAGGCAAATTTAGATAAGAGCAATTTAGTAATTCTTATGGAATTATAATCTATAATGAGTAAGACAGTTATGTGTATTTTTTCCAAAAGAATACATGGAGAATCTTCATTGTCCTCCATTGTCTTTAGAGAAGAACTATGTTTCAAAGATTCAATCTCATTTAATTGTATTTTGTATTAATCTACTGTGATCTATAATCGACCTATTAACATAAAAAGAGTTTTGTGGCATCTAACCAATTTTATCATCACGTATAACAATAATTAAACTGGATAATTTTAAAAGTTTCCATAAAAGATTGTTTTCAGAAAAGATTAACATGGCAACTATTAAAAACTATTAATTGTTCTGACACTGCCAAAACATAAATGGAATTATAAGAGTAACTTTTCCAGTATTTAACTATTACCGTTCTTGACAGTAATAAATATTTTTCCTCAGAGTTAAGTAGAGTTAAGTAGCACGTTTTCAAACACTACCAGGGATTGAGTTATCTGCTGAATATTTATGAATTTAAATGCAAATGATCTATTTTTATGTTTTAGCCATCTGCCAACTTGATTTTTTTCAACAAATAAACCCTGAATTTTCTAAATATATTGTTCTCCACTTGATGCAGAATTTGTAGATTATATTGGAGAGCGTGTGTGGAGACTATTGGGAGGGTAGGTACAGTCATGCATGGATTGGAACAATCTTCCAGTTATTAAATATGTGTTGGATTTATTTGAAATGAAGCATTACAGGTTGATTATGGCTAAAGGAATTAGAGTATTTTAAACTGGATTACAAAGTGTTGATTGCCAAACCTTTTGTTCAAAATTATAAACATTTCCTTTTTTGCTAGCAGAAGACAAATATGAGATGTAACTTTCTCTCTTTTCCAGAAATTTACACTATTCAAGGCAACTCTCATGGAAAACCCTGCACCATCCCCTTCAAGTACGATAGTCAGTGGTTTCATGATTGTACAAGTATGGGACGTGGAGATGGCCATCTCTGGTGTGCCACCACACAGGATTATGGCAAAGATGAGCGATGGGGATTCTGCCCTGTTAAGAGTAAGCTGCTTCTGATTGCACAGAATTATGGGCATATGACTCCCTAGGCTAATACTTTTCAATTTAGTCACAACAATGTAGTAGTGATTATGTGCAGTTAAATGGGTTGTTTCTTTTTTGGCTAGATTCCACAAGTGTTTTTATTGTTTCTCCTTTTCACAGCTAAGTTCTTAAGGCTTAGGGCTATAATTCTGCTACTAAAAAATCTTTATAGATTTTTCCTGAGCCTTCTTGTTATTCTTTCCTGCCAGTCTCCTGTCAACTTAACTCATCTGTATTACTTTCCTGTACTTCCTGCCTTTAGTTGCGACTTTGTAACTAGGCTCAAATTGTGTGTGTGTGTGTGTGTTTTCTTAAGTTTTCATGGGTATCTATAAAAGTCTGACTCACAGACGAATACAATACACAAGCCTGATGATAGCAGATGAGATTCTGCCGGAACGTCGCTACAACTTTAAAAGCACAACTATAATGACGTGGGAAAATACCTGAACAAAGTTGAATACTATATATATATATATATATATATAT